GTGACGCTCGCCCCCCGCCCCGCCCCCACGCCCAAGCCCCAGGGCCCCCGCAGCGACAGGGCAGGGGGGCGGTGGCAAAGACAACCCCACTCACTGGTCCAGACGTGGAAGGGGGCCATGGCCAGGCTCTCTGAGGGGTGGTCTTCCGTCCCCAGGCCACTCAGCGTGGTGACATGGACAATGTACCGCTCTCCTGGCTGCAGGTCCCTGCAGAGGAGGAAGGCAGCGTGGGAAGGGGGAAGGTGGGCAACCTGGGGAGGGCCCAGCTGGCCTGGCACCCACCACTCCACTCACAGGAAGGTGTATTTGGCCACGCTGCTGTTCAGCTCCACTGTGCGGGCTGCCAGGTCCCCTGGCTGGCGGATGGAGACCCGCACCCGACTGACGGTGGAGTGCGTGAGACGGTGGAGCGCCCATTGCACTGTGATGGCGCTGGCCGTCACGTTCGTGATCTCAAAGCCTTCCACCGGACGCGGTCCTGGCCAGAGCAAGCGGAGAGGGCTGCAGTCAGCCACCGGGCAGTGCAGGTCGCCCCATCCCGTCCCCATACCCCCTGTGATGAGAGTCCTGCCTGCCCGCAAGGCCTGTGCCACCCAGGGATCCTGGGGGCTGTCCTCTGACCCCAGTCCCCCTGCCCCAGCTCCAAAGGGGCTGCAGTGCCTGGCCCTGGCCTCTGAGCCCACTGTACACCCCAAGCATCCATCCTGAGCGCAGTTCTCACTGCCCCCAGCATCCGGCCTTGCCTTGAGGCCTCCTGAGCTGCAGTGGCCAGGGCTGCAGAGCCCCACTGTGCCCAGCATCGTGCCTGCCTTCTCCTCCCCTGGGCTTCGCTCAGTCTCAGCCTGCTGACAGGGTATGCACTCCACAGGCTTTCTTGTCACTGTTCCCCTCACTAGAGGGAGATTTTTTAGGACTAAACCTCATTATCCTCAGCTTGCACTCCATTTCCACACCCTAGGAAGTGGGATGGGGGCTGCTGCACCTGCCTATGCCCCTGCAGCGGCATTGCTGTGCCTCTCCCCTCTGCCTGCACAGCAGAGCTCCCCACCAGTCTCTGCCCTCCCTGGCATGGCCTCACACCGGGGCAACTCGCCCATAGGGCTCCTCATCAGCAGAGATCGCCCAGCTGGTGCAAGGGCTGCTCCAGCTCAGCTGAGCAGCACCAGAGGCCCATGTGCCCATGGGGAATGGCAAGGAGCAACTGGTGCTGCCTGGCCCTGGTGAACAGGATTGGGGAGTGGTCACCAGCCCCGGGATGTGGTGAGCTGTCAGGGGGAGGTTTGGTCCCCTTTTACTCACAGCAAAGAGAACTGCAATTCTCTGTGCCATGCGCTTTCCAAAGGCCCCCAGCTGGGTTTTAGCATCCATGCCACCAAACCCACTGAGGTTCAATATGGAGCCGAGCTGTGGCCAGAGCCGGTGGTGGAGAGGAGGTGGCACAAGCCCTGGTGCCTGTGGGGACCATGCACGCCCCCTACTGCGTTTCCCCCCAAGGACGCTACTCACTAGTGCGCGTGGTGAGCATGACAGGCCTGCTGATATCATTCTTGTTGTTCACGTTGCGTTTGACTGAAAAGACAGAAATATTGTAGGCTCTGCCGGAGGCTAATGCCCGCAATTGGTGGGCAGAACGACTTCGGTCCACAAAATCTGTCCTGCGGTAAGAGCCGTCGAGGGATACGTACGTCACGGCGTAGCCGTCAATGAGTTGCCTGGCGGCTGCGTCCTCAGGTGGGTGCCAAGAAATCAACACACCAGTGTCCTCCACCCTTTCCACCTTTAATGAGGTTGGTGGCAGCAATTCTTCAGGGTGTGGGCAAAAGCAAAGGGGAGAGGTAACGCCATGAATCTTTAGAGAACAGACCCCAGCAGCGAGAGGCAGAGCAGTAGCGATGGAGGACGGGGCCCTGGCTCTCTCCCTCGGTGAGCCCGGCAAGGGCCCAGCAAGCACTGGCCGCCACTGGCCCAGGAGGAGCTGGGACACCAGGAGCGCTCCCAGCCACCGCGAC